TATATATATATATATATATATTATAGACTATAAAGCATCCATTGATATCTTTTTTGTTTGTATTTAGTGCTTCTAGATGATGTAGCAACGAATCAGATATGATATGATATCTGTTAATATGCATCCAAGAAGAACCAGGTTTCCTTCTAATGCATCAACTGATTGGAAAGGCATTAGGTATTTCAGGGGCAAGTGTCCATCAGTATGATAAGCCAGGTTAGATCATATGAAATCATTAAGGTTCAAGTTTATCATGTTTTGCTTGTTCTTCTTTTCTCCTAATACTTATCTTGCACTCTTTTAGCAGAAATACAAAAGCAACGAAAGATGGATCATGTAAGTATAGTTGGCCCTTCTATGGACATTGTGAACGCAAAGCTAAAATCAATGCTTAATGAAGAAATCTCGGATGGTCAAACTGCAGCCTGCAGGTCAGTTGTGTAGACATAATTTCTTGAGCAGTGTCTGATTCAATTTTAATTTGACAGTCGAGTTGAGTCATATTTGGAGCATCTGCATGTTGTTTGACACTACATTTCAGAAACACATAAGGATAACCAGTGACAATTTAAATTTTTAAAAAAATTTGTTCTGCCGCTAGTTACAAATGCATGAAGGTTGTCTTCTCTCTTATTTCATATAAGATTGTCTGTCTTTAATCAATTTTGATACATGAACTTTGCATTCATGTTGTTCTGTATTATTTGTTTGACAGTCATGCCACGTGTTGGGATCATTATGGGTTCTGATTCAGATATTCCTGTTATGAAGGATGCTGCAAAGATTTTGAATATTTTTGGCATATCTCATGAGGTCATGTTTGCGGATACTTAGTGTTCATTTACCAAATTTAAATATGTTACTTGTAGCTAGCAATTGTATTGTTGCTTTTAAGTTGCGCAGATGAGAATAGTGTCAGCACAACAGACCGCTGAAACCATATGTTTTCTTATGCCTTGTCAGCTAAGGAGCGGGGGATTCAGATTATCATTGCCGGTGCTGGTGGTGCTCATTTAATAATATTCATGAAATGCCAGATGAGCATTGATATGCTCTTCTCATTTATGCATGGTAGTTGCATCAACCCCTTTGCCTGTTATTGGTGTTCCTATATGCTCCTCATCATTGGATAGACTTGGTTCGCTCCTATCAATTGTGCAGGTATACATTTTCCGAACTTTTCCAGAGTATAAAGAATTGGTTTTCTTTGACAACTACACTGAGTATGACTAGATTGCAAAGGAAGCTTCAGAGGTAAACGGTACGTATCTTTCTTCAATTTTGTTACTTTTCGTCATTTTGTGTCTTGATCATTGCTAACAACTTAGACATATTTGAAGGGGCTAAATGTGAAATAGGTCGGGTCCAAGCCTTGGGTCGGCCCAATCCACTGAAGTCCAAATCCAAGTTGGTTAGATTAGTATATGGGCACACCAATTGAGCCCAACTTCATGATCAACAGTCCACCCAAGTTCTCAAGCACTTAGGCCCAACCTGCAGTGAAAAGGCTAGTCTAGCCGTGGTGCTAGGCTGGGCCGAGCTGCAAGACTGAACCTATGGGCCAAACAGAAAATAGGCCAAGCCCATACAAAGATATCCGAATGGGTCAGCCCATCTCCATGAATGATCCTGTAAAAGGCCGAGATAAGGCATAATGATGCCGAGCTGAGGCACATCGGTACCGAGCTGAGGAAACCCTGCAAGAAAACATGGAAGTTGTGAATATGTGCATGTGCAAGTTGCCACCTCAGCTGATCCCCTACACCTAAAATCACGGAAGTTGTTGAATCAAAAGAATGAGGTTTGTCATTAGCATGACTACAATGAGTATATGCATTCAATAATAACTACCAGGTGGTCCCCCATCTTGAGCAATGCTAAAAGGACACCTGGCGGCATCCAAGCTCCATGAACCCACCTTGAGAAGCAAGCAAGGAACACTATATATACAATATGAACTTCACATTGAAGGTAACTGAACTATTCCAAGCAAAATCATGCATAGAGAGTGATTCAATTCTACATACACCTCTTCTCCGATCACTGATTCCCACACTGGAGGGGTTATCCGGCCAACCCCAGCCGGGCAGCTCTAACGGTGTTTCTTTTGGTAGGAATCCCAGTCCCTGGATAGTCCAACCAAGTGCAGGGCCCCGATCCACTTTCATCTAGTGCGGAATCCGGTACGCACAATTAGTGCGGTGAACGTGGATCACTTCATCTCTAAGCTCTGCACTCAATTCCGGCGATGGGGATTGAAAACGTTCCGCCTCCAACACATACTCCACAAACAGAGAAGACAAAGGACAAAGGTTTGGCACTCCCAACAGTTCTGGAAGAACGAACTGAAAACAACAATCGGACTCCTAAATCTGTTGAGCATCGATTACCCATCGCTGGAGGTTCTTCTCATCACTTCCTTCTGGAAAAGGATTATAAAGATCGAATCATAGACTCCATGGGGATGGAGATACAGGAGCTAAAAGCCCAACTTAAAAGGGTGTTGGGTGATCCGACAGAAAAAAGGATAGAAGCAGAACCCTCTCGCCTGCAACGAAGGAGCTCATCCAGAGAGCCACCAGTGAAAAAAATTCCCCAAAAATGAGTCTGGGCAAGTCGGAGAAGGGCTAAGAGGCAGAAGACAGTTAGTCAGCAAACTGAGTACCCCCTACAAGACCTTCGTACTTGGTTAATCGGCAACAAGCAGAACGAACAACATCAGGATCATCTAGACCGTACTGTCCACCAGAGAGAACACCGAGCGCTTGATAGGCTCGTCTCCTCACCATTCTCCCCGGAAATTGAGGCCATGAGACCCCCAAAGAAATTCACCCCACCAAAGTTCACTTCATACGATGGGAAGTCAGACCCGCTGACACATATTAGCCATTATAGACAAATGATGTCTCTATGGAGCCGAAATGAGGCACTAATATGTAAAGTCTTCCCATCCAGCTTGGGAGAGACCGGACTTCGATGGTTTGATCGACTCCCCGCTGGATCAATTCGTAGCTGGAAGTAACTCTCCGAAGAGTTCCTAGCCAGGTTCGTCTCCAACACTAAGATTCTGAAAGAGCCGGATACACTGTTCGGCCTTCAAAAGGAGCAGGAGGAAACGTTGCGCAATTACGCTAGGAGGTACTAGGAAGAATACAACGACCTGGAAGAAAATGTATGTAGTGAACAAATGGCTGTCTTGTCTTTCAAACATGGCCTGTGCCCGGAAAGTAAGTTCAGACAATCACTTACCAAGAGCCCGGCCACAGCGTTAAAAGACTTGCGTGCTAGGATTGAGCAATACGCTCGCCTCGAAGACGATCAGATCCCCATTGAGCAAGCGTCAGCAGAACAGACAGCTCGGCACAAGAAAAGAACAGATCGAGGAGAACACAGAGGGATCGCAGTGAATGAAGTGGATAAGTCCAAATCCCACGAAGTCGTCGTGACTGTGTTCAAAGAACCAATCTATTGAATTCTGGAAAAGATCAAGAGAGAGCCCTTCTTTGTTTGGCCGCCGAAAATGTTGGGAGATCCAGCTCGGCTTAATCAAAAGCTCAGATGCACTTACCATCAAGACAGGGGGCACATAACTCAGAACTGCAGAGCACTGAAACAACACTTGGAAGACTTAGTAGCAGCTGGGCACCTTCGGGATTACATTGATCAGGATAAAGAAGTGACTGAACCAGGGAACCTACTACCAGAACCAAATATTGAGCATCCACCTCGGCTGATAATAAATGTGATACACGGGATAGCGACTCAGGAGCCTGAGGAGACACTGAAAGAAGAGATTGCTAAGGCTGTGCAAATCCAACAAGTCATGTCAGTGGAGCCCGCATCGAAAAAGGTACGCGCGGTATCCAAATCCCCCTTGTGCACTGTTTCATTTACTAGAAAGGATTTAGAGTGCATACAGCACCCACATACTGATGCACTGATTATAACTGTGGGAATTGGGAAACGATTTGATGTAAAACTAGTCTTGGTAGATCAAGGTAGTGCAGCAGATATATTGTATTATGATTTGTTCAGAAAGCTTGGTCTCTCCGAGTAGCACCTCACCCCAGCGGCAGCCCCGTTGGTCGGTTTCAATTCACAACCAGAATGGCCACTTGGCAGAATAGTGTTGCCAGTCATGGCAGGAACAAAAACCCTCCAGATAGAGTTCTTGGTAATTAATACACCATCTCCTTACAACGCCATACTTAGCCGTCCATGGATTCATCAAATAGAGGCAGTCCCTTCAACCTACCACCAGCTCATCCGTTTCCCAATGGAACACAGAGTAAAGCAGATCTCAAGAGATCAAGTTGCGTACAAACATTGCTTCATGCCAGCATTAAAGGCAAAGCAGCTCTGCAATCGGGTACAGATGGTGGAAGTGGCCGAACAACTAGTCTTGAAAAATGTAGGGGGAGCTCCAGAGGAAAAAATAGTAGAGGATTTGGAGAAAGTCTTGGTAAAAGAGGATGACCTAGAAAAGTACTTCCTTATCGGTACCTCGCTAGGCGCTGATGAGAAACTTTAGCTGCTGGAACTGCTGAGGGAAAATATGGAGGTATTCGCATGGTCAGCATATGATACTCCAGGGTTGGACCCAGAATTTGCTTGCCACAAGCTCAACATCAACCCTTCAGCTCGGCCCATTGTGCAAAAAAGTCGGAGATCCTCAATCGAGCACACCGAAGCAGTAATTGTCGAAATCAAAAAACTCCTAGCTTCAGGAGCAATCAGGGAAGTTCAGTACCCGCAATGGTTGTCCAACACAGTTATAGTCAAGAAGAAGAGCGAAAAATGGAAAGTTTGCGTTGACTTCACTGGCTTGAACAAAACCTGCCCTAAAGATAGCTTTCCTCTGCCTTGATCAACTAGTAGACTCAACAGCAGGGAATGAGCGCATGAGCTTTCTAGACGCTTATAACGGTTGTCATCAGATACCACTGTTCGGTCTGAATCAAGAAAAGACAGCATTTATCACTCCGAGAGGAACTTACTGCTACAGAGTGATGTCGTTCGGCCTTAAGAACGCCGGGGCGACCTACTAGCGGATGGTCACTCGGATGTTCAAGGACCAACTGGAAAAAACCATGGAAGCTTATATAGATGATATGGTAGTCAAGAGCACGTTCGCTACAGACCATCTTATAGACTTGAGAGAAGTTTTCGGCATCTTAAAAAACCATCAGCTTCGCCTCAATGCCTCGAAATGCGCTTTCAGGGTAGGAACAGGGAAGTTCTTGGGATATATGGTCACTCATAGAGGAATTGAGGCGAATCCGGACCAAATAAAAGCAATACAAGATCTTGAAGTACCAACAAAGGCTAAGGAGCTGCAGAAACTGGCCGGAATAGCGGCGGCACTGAATCAGTTCATCAGCAAATCTTTAGATCGGATGAAGTCCTTCTTCCAGCTTTTGAAGCAAAGGGCAACATTTGAATGGAGTTCCAAGTGCACCGAAGCACTGCAAAGTCTCAAAAAATACCTCAGTACACCTCCCCTTATGTCCACTCCAGAGCCAGAAGATGAGCTGTACCTCCATCTAGCAGTCTCAGATCATGCCGTAAGCGCAGTATTAATTCGAGAGGTTAACAAGGAACAGATGCCTGTATACTACGTTAGCAAGACTTTACTAGATGCCGAGACACGATATCTACCATTAGAAAAGTTAGCTTACGCGCTGCTTATCGCCTCGAGAAAGTTACAACATTACTTCCAGGGGCATACCATCAATGTCCTCACTAAATTCCCCCTCAAATCTATATTTAGCCGAGCCGATTTCTCTAGCAGAACAGCAAAACGGGTAGTAGAACTTGGCGAGTTTGACATTCGATATCAACCCAGGACAGCAATTAAGGCCCAAGTCTTAACAGATTTCGTCGCAGAATTTGCTCCCACCCAGAGTATCGAACCAGGGAACCCAAGTTCGGCACAGGTACCACACATCACCGAACAAGGAAAGCCCTGCGCTTCGGAAGCCTGGAAACTCTTCATTGGAAACATATGGTAGCTCTATGTTGACGGGTCGTCCAATAACCGAGGTTCGGGGGCAGGAGTAGTACTTATCTCACCAGAAGGATTTATCTGGGAACAGGCTCTTAGGCTCGGTTGGAAGGCTTCGAACAACGAGGCAGAGTACGAAGCGTTATTGGCTGGCTTACGCAGTGCCGAATACTTTAGTGCAGAACAACTTCTTGTTTTCAGTGATTCACAGCTAGTGGTAAACCAACTTTCTGGGGTCTACGAAACACGAGATGAAATAATGGCCATGTACGCAAGCAAGGCCAAATACTTACTCAAAAAGTTTCAATCCATACGAGTGGAACGAATTAGTCGGGACAAAAACGGCCATGTTGATGTTTTGGCTTGTCTCGGCTCATCAGTGGATACCAAAGATGCCAGAAAAGTTTGGGTTGAGTTCGTGCCAGAGCCAAGCATTGCATCTCCAGTCCTCTGCAGCAGCGTAGAGCCGAGCTGGATGGATCCAATACTTGCTTTTCTAAAATCTAGTACTCTCCCTGAAGACAAAAAGGAAGCCAACAAAGTCAGACACAAGTCAGCTCGATTTTGGATCTCACCATCCGGGAAGCTGTACAGATTCTCCTATCTTGGCCCTTATCTTCTATGTGTGCTTCCAAATCTGGTCGAGAATGTTCTCTACGAAATTCACGATGGGATTTGTGGATGCCACGTTGGCGGAAGGTCGCTAGCGCGCCGAGCCCTCACTCACGGGTATTGGTGGCCACGGATGCAACAAGATGCTCAGCAGTACGTACAGAAGTGTGATAAATGTCAAAGGTTTGCTCCATTCATTCATCAGCCAGCCAAAACTCTCACCCCACTCACCAGCCCATGGCCCTTTGCCCAATGGGGTCTGGATATTGTCGGACCATTGGCGCGAGGCACTGGGAACAGGCGATTCTTCATTACAGCAACCGACTATTTTACTAAATGGGTTGAAGTCGAGGCATTGGCAAATATCAAAGAGGTAGATACGAAGTGGTTTGTTATGAGAAATGTGGTGGTGCGGTTCGGCATCCCGTGGGTACTGATTGTGGACAATGGAACACAGTTTGATGGTAAGATCTTCAGAAAGTTTTGTGTCGACCTCAGGATCGAGTATAGGAACTCTTCTCCAGGGTACCCGCGAAGCAATGGACAGGCAGAAGCCTCAAACAAAACCATCATCAACGGAGTAAAGAAACGGCTTGAGCATGCCAAAGGAAAATGGGTTGAAGAGTAACCCCACATGCTATGGGCATACCAAACCACAGCACGGCGATCAACGAGGGAAACACCTTACTCACTAACTTACGGAATGGAGGCCGTCATCCCACTCGAAGTCAGTCTCTCAACCCTTCGGTCTAAATTATTTAAGAGCACCAGTAACGAGGAAGCTATTGCACAAGCACTAGATATGGTAGAGGGCCGAAGATAAGCAACACTGATCAGACTTGTAGCGTATCAGCAGCAGCTCATCAAGAGTTTCAACCAAAAATTTTTCCCAAGGCAATTTATACCAGGAGAGCTGGTCTTGAGGAAAGTTATGGATCACAAAAGGGTGTCTGGCGAGGGCAAACTTGGGCCTAACTGGGAAGGTCCCTACGAAGTCACAGTCGTTGTTGGAAATGGAGCTTACTACCTAGAGGATCTAAATGGCAGAGCTATACCTCGGCCCTGGAACGTAGCAAATCTCAAGAAATACTATCAATAGAATTGTCCCCTAACTTCTCTATCAGAATGTAAAGGCATTTATCTGTTGACCAATGCAAATGCTTCCCCACTTCTCTCAAATTTATCAAATTCTTGTAATTAACTTTGATGTTTATCAAACGGAATTAGCTTTGGTTCTTACAAACAGAATTAGCTTTGATGTTTATCAAACGGAATTAGCTTTGGTTCTTACCAAACGCAATTAGCTTTAATGTTTATCAAACGGAATTAGCTTTGGTCCTCACCAAATGGAATTAGCTTTGATGTTCATCAAGCGGAATTAACTTTGGTCTTCACCCAAATGGACTTAGTTTCAGAACGACTGGACGGAATATAAATTTGGTTAGCACTCAAACATGCTAAGTGGTATTGCTTGGTGGAATAATGTTTGGCAACTAAATTGAACTTTAGCCAAGTGGAATTGCTTGGTGGAAACCACACTAACATATCTTAAGTAAACGTCTTTGAATCCACAGAATTCCTCAAGTACCAATACGTCAACACTTCAGTACTGATTCAAACAAACAGAGCTGGAACAAGCATGACCGGGTTCTGTCAGGAGTAAGCTTCCAGCATAAGTCTTACTCAACTCCAGGCGGGGGCAAACAATAGTTTTTTTTTTTTTTAAACCAACCTGGACTTGAGTAAGACACCTCTCCATGCCTATATCTCCTCCAAGTGCATCTGCGCTATCAAAGTTGCAATCTTTAGTACCAATCTTACTTAGCTCCAGGTAGGGGCAAACAATTGTTTTCTTTCAAAACCAACCTGGACCTAAGTAAGACCCACTTATGAACTCAAGCACAGCCATACCACATACTCGTTAGTCATACTGAGCATCAGTTCGGCCCCGAGGTCCCAACAGTGCTCGGTCGGGGACAAACCGTACAAAGTCACACCGAGCATCCGTTCGGCCCCGAGGCCCCAACCATGCTCGGCCGGGGGCAAGTAGTACAGAATCAAACAGAGAATCTATTTAAAAGCAGTACAGAACCAGATCAAGCATCTATTCAGCCCCGAGGTCCCAACAGTGCTCGGCCGGGGACAAGCAGTATAGAAAACATTCAGACATAAAAGCCGAACAGCATCAGATTGCAAGTTCAAAGAGAAAATTCTATTATCCAACAAAAGGCACAGATGGCCCCATAACCAGCAGCAAAGAAAACAAAAAAAAAAAAAAAAAAAAAAAAAAAAAAAAAAAAAAAAAGGTCTAAGCAGAAGCACCAACGGGACTGGTTCAGAAGAACGAGAAGAGTCATTTCTCTCTCTTTGAAACTCTCTAGAGGAACGAAAAAGTAGATAAAGGAATTTGTATTGACAGCTAGAGCATTAATTGTGCCAGC